GATAAAATTTCCAGGGAAAAGTAATCTTTTATTAGAATAACTGAGGGACTGGGAAAACCAGACAGGCTGAGAGGCACACATACCTTTTGCCTTACTTATTGTTCTCTGTCTCTTGAAGACTGACTCCTGCACTCGAGTTTGGAGGACCAGTCATTGCTCAAGAGCGTTTTGGATGTACTAATTTGGGAACCTAATTAGGTTCTCCCTGATAGTGGGTAACTTTTATAAATGAACAGCACTATCATAATATAGTGGCTATCTTAGGACTCGGACATAGGATATTGTAGCTAATTTATCTAATTTGAAAGGAATTTAACTCAGATGCTCTGACAGAGCTGCGTTTTAGAGCCAGTTGGGTTCAGGTGAAGAGCAGAAGCACCTAAAGGCTGCAGGACACTTTTGATTGTCAAGAACTGACTTCTAGGTTAGAGAGCTGACTGCTTCATTGAAGCAGTGTCAGTGTTTCCACCTGTTTTACTTATGTTTTGTTGTCATTCAGGTATTCACTGAATAAATATGCTTCCATTGGAAAGCAAGTAGCTGAGTAAATAGGTTGACAGTTCACGATCTACAGCAGACTATATTAACAATATTTTAATATTGTTACTGAATCATTATTATGGTTTTATAAGCCATTTACCTCAAACTCTAGGTAATTGTTAAAATAAACAAAACAAGAGGCTAAAATGGGAAGCATAAAAAGAATCTGAATCAACGGAAAACAGCAACAAAAAACTCCTTTTTTTGAAGTATGCTTTGCTAGAACCCTTCTTGATATATCTAAATCAAAATAGTGAACAGCTCAACACATTTAAGGTATAATGGGAAGGGAAACCATGCACATGATTGGCAAGCCCTTGTTTTTGCAGTCGTGACGGGTTTCCTCATTTGCAGAATCATATTCGCTGTGAACAAAGGCTTCCTGATTGTCATATGAGCTTGACTAGAAATCTATCCTGCAGCTCAAGAGATATCAAATATTAATATTTGTGCTCATGTAGCCAAAGGTGTGTGTATTGAATAGGTCTTGAGTCTGAATATAGCTACGGCCTCTTGTAAAAGCCAAACACAATTTTAAAATTACAGTGATAAATCAGTGCGATGTGTTTTGTCAATAAGTGATGCTAGGTAAAATCAGATACAGCCTCTGAGTCTGAGATAAAAGATAAAGCCAGATGAAGCAGAGAAAATTGTGATTACCAAGGAAGGAAATATCTTCGTACTTTTTTCTTTTAAATTCAGAGTAGGAGGCAGCAGGAGGTTTTGTGTGTTAAAGACACATACACACATAGGCATAGATCATTCACTCTGTATTTTGAATACAGGGTATTGCAGGGTGTCCTGAGCTGTTGTTTAATGAATGAATTGAAAGGAAGTTGTGGTTTGTCACCGCACAGGTAGATGCTGTTGTGCAAGCCTTGCAGTGTGTAATGCATCGGAACAGTTTCTTCTTTCAACTTGGATAAATAATGGCCATTGAAGTAAGTGCCTGGCGAACACTGAACAGTGTCTGTTCTTCCCATAATTACACGCAAGTTCCCCAGTGGGCCTGGCACGACCCGACTTTTAATAACTGAGCCTTATGCTTGGCTTCCTTCCCTCAGAATAAGGCTGCAACAGCAGGACACGTGCTGACCTTTAATCTTTTGGAAAATACAGGAACTGGAGGGGGTTCTCTGCTTGCTGGGAGGTTCTCCCTCCACCTTCCCAGGCAAAAAAGTGCTCAAACAGCAATATGTAAATATTGGGTGCTCACGTGGTGATCTCTCCATTTACCTTTTGGCTTTTGTGCACAATGGATGTTAAGGTGTGAAGTCTTGATGATCCCCCATAAGCTCTATCTTTTTAAAATGAGATTGTCGCTCTTCCTGCAGCGTAACCATGGAAACAGACAGGAACCCTTAAAGAAAGGGATCGAACATGCTGTGCTAATTAATCGACCCTTCAGTTTTCTTTCAGTTGAAGGATGTGGTTAAATAAATTTTGCATGAGTAAGCATATTTGGATGTGCAAAAGGGTATAAAATACATAGCAAATTTTCTTGCAGAAGGATATCTGAATAAAACCCTGGTAACTGTCATCTATTTGCATCTGGAGCATCAAAACAAGAAATGCAGTATCTTGTTAGTGTTTCACATATATATTTTGATAGCATTCTTTTTAAACTGTAAATATATCTGAAAGATGAGGATATTTTTTCATGCCTTAAGTGTGATGAGAGACATTTGCATTAATTTTGAGTCTTCAAGTGAAAGTGTTCATAATTGCAAATGCCTTCTTTATGCAGAGCATTATTCAGAAAAAGCAAACTTTGCTCCTTCCTTGAGAGAAAGCAGCTCTGCCAAGGCGTTAACCTAGTTCAGGTCCTTTCAGCTCTGCACAGGGGGAACAATTGACTGAAGAGTGGTACTGTGCCAAATTTTCCTCTGCCAAATTTTAGCCTTTGTGAGCATTTCTCTTGGTTGCTTACTTCTGCTTTCCATCGGGCTTTTTAGTTTCCAAAGTAGTGTATGTGCCCAACTAGGAAACCAATTAGCCACAACTTGAAACATATGGCTTGTACCCATCAACCTCTTGAACCTGGTGAAGCTGTCTGATGCGAATGTATAGTTTTGTTTAGAACTTTCTCCATTCTGGTAATGGTCCTCTTATAACTGAGAAACCAGATGTAGCAGCTAACCCTCAAGTAGGACTTTCACTCCCAAAGGGAGTGCAGAGCACATTAAAGAAAAACATTTAGTTGTCCAGCAGGCTGGAATTAGCCCAAAAGGGCCATCCTTTGAAAGCTGGATGGATTTTAGTTAGCCTGGAACGGATTAGAGGTGGAGGAGATCTAGAAGCAGTAGGCTGAGGAAACAGGATGGGCAGCAGTCCCAGCAGGATGGGAGGACTGGTTCCATGTTGAATGGTCACACAAGAGGAGGAAAGGTGTGCTTGGGCTGACTATAGCACTTGCAGAGCTCCATCCTGGCCAGTAAAGTGGCATAAACTGGCAGGCAAGCATGGGTATTGTATTATTTGCAGTATGATTTCTGGTATTGGCAAGTTGGATACTCATTCTTGCTTACATGGGAGGTTTCTTGAGTGTGTGGATCAAAGACTTTGTGTCATGGAAACCTGAGATAATTTTTCACCTGCCAAGTTCTAAAGTTTTTTTGACATTTTTCCCCAAATCACATGATGTTGCTGGCTTCTTAAAAATGCCTTTTCCCTGCCTGCCCATGCCTTTTCTCCTGTCAAAGCTAGGTAGAAGATTAAAGAGGAAATCATTTGCAGTCAAATTCAGTCTTCCTCAGGGAAGACTAAAGGGGGCTCAGACAGGCAAAGAAGGATGAGGCATTCACCTTCCAGGCTTCTCAAATCCTTTCATAATTTTTATTTAGCTTAATAATAGTAGGTCCATATCTATCTACAAATTCAGGGACTACTGTTTCGGTTTAGTCATATAGGATATAGGTGCTCAGAAACTCGGACTTCCTAATGTTTCTCTGGGCTAGGAATAAGAACTGTTAACCAGTTACAGCATTGGTGGTTTCTGATCTCCTAGAAGCAAAACCATTAATCTGGAGTTGGAGGCACTGCAGAGCGTGTGATGTGACCTCTCCTCTAGCCTCTTTGGTGCTGTACCTGGCCAACCCTGAGTTGGCTGTGTGAGCTAAGTTATTTGTCAAGCTCATGGCCAGGTGCACAAACATAAAAGAGATGGAGGTCTAAAAACATTTTTCTTTTTTTTTTTTTTAAAAAAGTCATTCATATTTGAAATGTAATTTTTTAAAAAAAAGAAATTCTGGCATGCCAGTCAGATTATTTCCCTACCCTGCTCTAATTGCTATAATCAGCTGATAATGCAATCTACTGGCAAGATTTGCCACTATGGAGATACTTTACTATGGAGATACTTCACTGAGATTAACTGTTCTTAAATAGGTTCTCCAGTGTATTAAGAATAAAGGTGCAAAGGACCTTCATCTGCACTCTTATGTGAATTCTCATGTTGCATGTTTCTTTCTGAGTGTATGATTTTGGTTTTTGGTTTCTGTGAGGTGTAAGGCATGACCTTCTGTTTCAGTAATTCCATTTGTTTTGTGAAAGGAGAATCAATAGTTCTTCATTTAGGAAGACACGAAAAAAACCCCAGTAGTGCATTCTCCTGATTTTCATTACTTGTGCAAGTCCAATGTTCCCAGCAACGGAGCAGATGGTCGCAAGACAGTAACTAGGAGCAGATTATTTGGAAAAGGTGTTTGCAGGCCCATGATGGGAACAGTCACGATAGCCCTGAAAATCTTTTTCCATTTCCTGGAGGAGAGGGGCTTCTGTAGGAGAGCTCTTACAAAAGTGTGCTCTCTACTGCTGCTTTTAGCATATGAGGGTCTCTCCTAAGATCTTTCCAGTTTCACACGAGATAGCTTATGGTTGTGTGGTAATGTGGATTATTTTAAATGACTGCAATATTAGTATTTGTTTGAGTGATAACGTGTGTGTCAGCTGCTTTTAAATACAAACTTGAATAAGCAGGCTGGGGTTTGCGGTGTAAACTGTGGAAGGTTTCCTTAGGCTCCCCTAAAAAACCTCATCTGTGGCACTATTTGTCTGGGAGTTCTGTTTTCGTTTCCTTTTTCTAAATAACATTGATATGAAAGACTATCTAGGCCTAAGAATGAGCAGTTAATGGAAATGAAAATCTTTGTTTATTTGTCTTTCATTTAGGTATACCACAATGTATCTTTGCATCTCTCCTGGGCCTGTGGTTGTCATTACGGAAAGCATATTTTATTATTTCTTCATAGTATTCACAGCTCTGTTTAGCTGGGTACTGAATGATAGATGGTACGATGTTCTTTCATTACGTAACTTATTCCAGTACTAGAAGAAAGAAATGCTTGCAACATGCTGTCATGTTTTGTGATGTGAGCTTATGTATCCTTTTAGGATTGTAACTATACAGCAAACTATTTCTTTTTTTTGTTTGCATTAATTTATGTGTGTTTGCCCCACAGGTCTTGCAAGAGCTAAATCAGTTCCGAGCCATACGTATTCCAATGAAGTGGTAACCCTGTGGTACAGGCCTCCAGATGTCCTTCTGGGATCAACAGAATATTCCACCTGCCTTGACATGTGGTGTGTATAGAATCCTTACACAAGACTCTATGTAGGTGCTTTAGCTCTGATTTTTTTTTTTTTTTTCAGACATGTAAAACAAATATGTAGCCAGATGAGTGTACAGGTTAAAAAAACTGTGTGTAGTGATCTGTGGGGTTCACTCGTTATCTCCCTAAAGGAATCCCTCCTGCCACCCCACCGGTTGGCAGCTGGTACCTGCTGTTGACACACCACTAGAAGAACTGTTGGTGCTTTGCAAGAGACAGAGTTGTTGCTTGACTTTGGTAGTCTTAATGTGGTACTTTGATGGATATGATACTTGTTCTGCAGAAGACAGAATTTCACCATGCCCAGCTGTGGCAAGGACAAAACTAGGATTCTCTGGATGTGAGGATACAGCCTCAGTTCTTAATCTACTGTACTTGTTGGCAGTAAATCAGTGACACATGTGATTTAGTTTTCTTTCAAACCTACAGATTTTATTTAGACCTGCAAGTTTGAAAGGGCATTCTGATGCGTACAATATATAGCACCTTTCTCCTTTTTGAGAACATCATTTAATCCTCTGTTAAACAAAGAAGGTGTTTGGTTTTTTCGCTGTTAGAAACCAAGGGGGAGGTTCTTCATTTTTCCTGTAGGTTTTGAGGCTACAGGATCTCTGTAATCTGTACAAATTCTGTAATTAGTAAGAGCTTCAGCCGTGTTAGTAGAAGCAATGCATGTTGATTCAAGAAGCAGAAATGTGGAAAAAAGTGGTTTTACTTACAAAGAAAGTCTCATGCTCTGGAAGATGTTAATCTTTTTTGAATGTATTTGACTTTTTAAATCTGTACAACTCATTTCATTTGAGAAAAAAGTATACTGAGCAAGTTTCAGAAAAATACAATGATTTTTTTTGTAGTTTGCTCGAGTATCTTTCTTTAATACAGGCAATCTAAATTTAGGATTAGGATTATGTTAAAATCTAAACGTAGCTGTAAGATAAGGTAAAAAGGACTGTATGTTTTCATATGGTGGGTGAATAGTATTTGTCAAGGGAATCTTAGAATAATAGAATCATAGGATAGTTTGGGCCAGAAGGGACCTTTAAAGACCATCTAGCTGAGCCCCCTTGCAGTGAGCAGGGACACCTTTAGCCAGATCAGGTTGGTCAGAGCCCTGTCCAGCCTGACCTTGAATGTTTCCAGGGATGGGGCTTCTGCCACCTCTCTGGGCAGCCTGTGCCAGTGTTTCACCACCCTCAGTGTAAAAAATGTCTTCCTTATATCTAGTCTTGAATCTCCCCTCTTTTAGTTTAAAACCGTTACCCTTGTCCTATCACAACAGGCCCTGCTAAAAAGATTGCCCCCATCTTTCTTATAGGCCCCCTTGCAGAGTAGTACTGAAACTGATGACCTAGAAGGAATACTTGTTTGCTGAGGAAGGGAACTAACATGAGTAGCTTGTGTTTAGTCCTGTAGCCAAGATCAGAGAATGTGGGATGAAGAGGTACATTTTTCTGAAGATCTCATCTAGTTTTTCCCCATAGTGCTATTAAGTCTTGACTCCTAGGGGCAGGAGTTAGAAGCCGCAGGATTGTTTCATTTGAAGGGGTTACAGAGTATAGGTACTAGAATATCTGATACTGAAGAGAGCGTTTAATATAACTGGACCTCTGTCTGCTGGAAGTTCCTTGGCTTGTAATGGTAGGTAAACCAAGAGGTGGTAAAAGGGAGGGTTAAAAAAGGTCTGCAAAGGTGAACATTGATATTGCAATTGCACCAGAGAGGCAGAGGCAGCATCTTCTGTATGAGCTGTCTGGTTTTCTTCAAACCATTCTCAACCTCACAGGTCTGAAATGCATCTCAGCTTCTCATCTGTCCTAAAACTGTCCTATTTTCCCAAAGATCAGGTTCAAACTGGTGTCTTTACAAACTGTGTGCAGGCTTTGCATCCCATCTGCTCCTGATGTTTTGCAGTCACCTCCTCTCCCAGATACACCTCTGACACTCAACAAGAAGCTCAACTTGCTTTGTAGTTGTTGGTTGTTTTTTTAACTGAACAGAAGAGATTTTAAAACTTTTTTGATTCTCACTGAAACTTTTTCCACCAAGAAAAATGGTTCACTCTAAAGTTTAATAGCTCCTAAAACCATATATTTTAACATTCCTCCCAATAATTATTTTAGCAAAAGAGCTATTAAAATGTGTAGTCGAACTATGTGCTGTTACTGTGATAGAGATCGAATTAAGCCGTGCAGCTAATAGGAGCATTTTAAATCTATTATAATTGCAGACTGAGCATTCCCTTCATAATCATGTGTTTATACTCAAATTACATGAACAGCAGGGAAGATCAAGGAAGGACTCAAAGTGCCACTTCAGCAATCCAGATCATGTTTTTGTCAGGACTTTTATAGCAATGCAAGAGTATTAAGGAAGAACACAATAATTACATCTTCAGTGATAACAATAAATGATGTCCTCTTGTACAGAGCATTTCATACACGTCTCAAAAAGATCCAGTTGCTCAGGGATAGAGGCAGTGAGTTTCATTTCAGGTGAAAAATGACGTGATGCTGCTCTCGTACTAGATTTATAGCACTTACAAATTTTTGCTGCCCTGTGCAAACTGGAGAACTGTGAAAAGCTTAGAAAAAAGCCCTATTAATACACTTTTACACGACAGGAGTTTATGTAAAGGCTCACCTACTGCCACATCAGAAATCAGATTAGAGCAAATGTATATTGTATGTGACAGAAGAGGTTTGGGTTTTGACTTCTCCACTTTGCTGGGTTGGCTGAGACACTGCTTCTAGTTTGATTGTGAGAGATGTAGTTGCACATTAAGGTCACTTATGCTTGTTTGGCACATCTGACAGTGAGCTCTGCTGGAGCACAGGCGGGCTCGAGGCTTCATTTATACGCTGCTTGTCCATAGCTGGGCCATAATTGCATTAAAACCACTTAGTGACTTCCCAGAGTGGGAGGAAGGGAGACGCGGAGAAACCCAACTACCATCAGATTCCAAGGTAATTTGGTAATTTGTTATCAAAAGTGTGTTTGTAGCATTAGCATTTTTATGCAATTACTGGCATTATGTCCTTCTGGCAGATAGCATGTGCTCTCCTGTGTGCTTCTGGATGATCTGCATGATGACAAAACTAGACAGCCACTTCACTAAATATTTAAATAACATTGAGGTAGAAAGCACGGCTGTTTCTTCCATTTAGTAAAAAAAAAAAAAAACAAACCAACAAAACCAACAGAGGGCCTTTGCTATAGCCATGGTAAATGACATTTCATGGTGGTTTCTAAGGAAGGGAAAGTGGGGCTTCTACTGAGTAGAAGACCAGCTGCGTGAAAAAGGAGTTCAAATATTAACCACCGGACAGTGGCTGGGAAGCAGGTGGCAGAGGCTGTGGGCTATTTTTACACTTCATTTGCCAATGTAGGGCATTAGGATAGTAACTAAAACCTAATGATCCACACACAGTTTTACATTCTCCTGCGTTCTTTATTTAAATAGCCACTGGCAATAAAATAATATTAATGAAGATGTACATGCATTAGTGGTGTCAGGCTGGTGATGGAAATCAATGTGGTGGGCTTAGTCATTTGCTGCTGACACCATTTAATACAGCGACATTGTGTGAGTGTATTATACTACCCAAGACTGCATCAAAGAGTTGTGATAACCTTTGATATACTAGGTTCTTTTTTCCTCTTGATGAGGACTTAACTAGTAGCTAGGAAAATGGCTTTGCATTGCCTCTGGTGTAACTTGTCCTAATCCTTGAATTTTGCAGTCCTTTGAAAGTCAATGCAAGGAAAATAAGCTTCAATACATAAAGGGTTTATGAATTAACTAAACCCCATATATAAGTAACACAGAAATATAGGGAAAAAAATCCCCAAATGAACCTATTGTATTTGTTCCTTATAGGAAGAATATAGTATTAGTAAATGAAGCAATTTAAGCAGGTTATTAAATCCTTTTAGATTCTGGTAGTGCATGTACTGCTACATCTGGGTTGCTTACATCAGGAAGTCACTAGGGATATTTTATTTTGAAATGCAGCTGGCTTTAAACTGTGTTTGCTAACAGCCAGCAATTTTTTGCATATCCTCTTGTTTTGGTTTTAAAAAATACACTCTTATTCACAGTTCAGATAACCTGAGAAATTATGGGCCGTGATGTATTTTAGATTCACTTTTTAACTAACATCAGCTATGTTTAGTGCTGCGGAAGAAATGGCTTAAAACTAGGCCAGTCAAATGTTATGAAATTGCTTATTAAATCACTGTTATTTAACTTTGTACAATCTGGATTGATATACATGATTTCAATCCTGATCTTAATTTAGGGAAAACTCTTCATGTGGAATTCTTCAATCTATCCTATCATTAGAAAAATAAATGATATTTTTCAGGAACACAATGCTTTTCACACATAGCCTGCTCCGAGTGCAGGTTTGAGTGCTCACTGTAATCCCATGCATGCTGTCATGAATATTTGACCAATGAAGACCTATAACAGTAATTAAGATATTTATTAAAAAACAGAGTTGATCTTGTCTTAGACACAGGTGCACTGAGTTATATTTTTACACAGGGGACATTACAAAGCCATCTTTGTCCTGTATCTGCTGTAAACAGTTTGCAGAGAAAGAAATCTGAGAGCAGGAGTCCCAGTATACCCTGAAGAAATACTGCTTGGGGCCTAAGAGAGAAAACAGTATAGGGTAAATTAGTTCTTTTGCCCTTGATGTTCTTTACAATAACGACTTCCACGCCAAAGAAATGCTAGTCTGCAGGGTTAGGGTATTAAAGTAAGGATATTGCCGTAACTGTCAAGGTATTGTTAATTAAAATTACCTCATTGTCAGTGAGTTCTTCAAAAGTTTTATCGATTGAATTAGCTTTTTATTGGAAAATTCTCATAGGGTCAAATTCATAGAAACATTATGTGTGAAGAAACCATCTTGGTCTGTAGTTATTCAAGGGCATTTCAGTTCCTCTCTAAAAACTACTTTTATC